GGGGGGAAGCAGCGGGCCCTGCTCGGTGTGGAGGCCGCGGGCAGAGGGCCCTTCCTCAGGGGTGGCGTGGGCCCGGGCGCCTCTGAGGAGGCCGGCTGTCATCCGCGTCCCTGGCCCGAGGGGACCGGAGTCCTGGGCCGCGCGGGGAGCACCCGGGCTGAGGTGGTCGCAGGTGCTTTTGTAGTCCCTGGAAACCGCCGTCGCTGCAGCCCGTTGCCAGCTCCTAGATCTCCCTACCGAGACCGCACATGTAAACGCTGGTCTCTCTCTGCATGCTAGTCCTCCTCTTCAACAGGCTGCTAATAAATCTTTCTCCCATTCCTGTGAAGTGGTAGCCTGTCTGTCTTCTGGTCTCTCTAAGTACTTTCTCAGAAATTGCTAAGTTTTCTCATTCTTTGTTCTGCAAGCCTTTCCTTCCATTACTTAGCATCCTCCTTCAAATCATCCCATGTCACATCCTACACATTTGGCACGTTTCTGAATGCAATGATTATGTGCCGTGGCCTTGTGACTGTGGCTGAAGCTGAACTTCTTGTTGCTTTCTTCATTTTTTTTTGTTATTTCTCTCTTCCCACATGTATCAATGTCGTATTTAAATATCATTACTTTTTCTTCCTCAGCATCTCTGCACTTCACAACAAAACATCTGCTTTAGGTTTTTATAATATCCTGTTTTGACTATTGTAGTGCTATCTTTTCTGTCATTTTGCATTGGATTCTTTAATTCCAAATGATGATTGATTTTCTGTGCTCTCTAGTTACAGTAATACGGGTATAGTCTTTGAATTCCGTCACTTGCCCATAATTTTAATTTACGTTGTTCTTAATTTCCTGGGTTCTGTGGCCTCTTGCACATTAAACTGTCCTTCTATTGAATTATTACCTCTCTGTCATTTTCATGGCCACTTTTTTTTTTTTTGATGTTAGACTAGTTCAGTTTGCTAAAATTTATTCTTCCTAACCTTTGTCTGTCTTTCCGCTAACCATTCTAAGCCTGAACATCTATCTGTGCTGAAACAGAGTGGAGGGAAGGAAGAGATTAGGTAATGTCTAGCTTGTTATAGATGCCATGAAAGAATTGCTAACTGGTGATTAGGTCTTTGTTACTCTTTAATGTTATATGCAAGTGTAATTAAAACCCTGTTTATTTAATTTCATCCTCAAAGCTTTCAATCTTAAAATGCTGATAAATTTTTTAACATTTCTGTCATTTTTCATCTTTAAGTACCACAAATTCCGGTAGACTAACTGGTAATTAATTTTGTTCTGTAGCTGTAGTAAGTTTCATAGCTTAAAATTGACATGCTTTGATGTGACTGTTCTCTTTCAATGTGTGTTTGAAGTCTGTTGTTTTGGTGGGGTTTTTTGCCACCTGGTCACTTTCGAAGGATCAGTTGTGTGGTGTTGAAGTGCATTTTTAAGAATCTCCAGAAATCTTGGCTTATGGACGCAAATTCAAAATTTGTATTAAATTGTTGGAAAATTCGAAGTCTAAATTTTATTTCTTCTTATTCTACGTAAACTTTTACATTATTATTCTTATGTCTGAGTTCCTTTCAGCTTCTCATTAAACAGTAACTAACTTGTCACATGAACATTCTCATTTTCTCCCTAAGAGAAAAGCGCTCTCATCTTCAGTGACCTGTTTTGTTGAGAGTTTACATGTTGATTTTGTGCGTCAAAGAGACATTTCAAATAATGTGATTTTCATTCCTGATTCTGGACTTTATTCAATCAATTGAAATTATTCAGGTCTTTGCTGTCATTCTTTTCACTGGATGGCTCTCTCTTAAGTGCCAGGTTAAAGCCTCAGTTGTTTGTTATGTGTGGGGTTTTTATTTTGTATATATAGCATTCTATTGTAAAAAATTAAAATAACAAATCTTACATGTTTACATGAAAAAAATCTTTAGTGCGGTACGAATGTTTTAAAGGGTGTGAAGAATTAACTCTTCACTAACTTAACTATTAGAACTCTTCAGTTTAAAATTTTAAAAACCCAACAAATTATTTTGAGCCCTCTGCTGTCATCTGGACTTCTCTTGTAGGAGCAAAATACATGTATAAAAGAAAATTACAAATTACATAAATGTATACTATCTGATTTTTTTATGTATTTAAAAATATTTTCGGTAAATTTGTACAATAATGCTTTCCCTGTGTTTCTCTGCCTAAGTGCTTTGGTTCATTAACACCTATGGCTGCTGTTAATACCATAGGTACTAAGATCTTATTTTCAGATCATGTTATTTGAAATTTTTTTTATGCCAGAGAATCAATTACTTGCATTTAAGAGAAGAAAAATACGGGAATCAATTACTTGCATTTAAGAAAAGAAAAATACGGGATTGCCATTTGTTAGAATCAAAGAGTAGGTCAATAAATAGCTAATTTTTTTGTGTCTCCCTTGGGTATTTTTTGTCACAGGGACTGGCTCTGACATTGTATGAACATATAGCATAGCCAGTGTGTATCTGACTGATTGGAGAGTGTCAGTTGCTACCAAAAAAATCTGTGGACACTTTTTCTTCGGAATTCTGTAAGAGTGGGATTAAGTATTCTGAATTTGTGATCTCCATCTTATATTTAGCTATTTAGATAGGAAATTAAAACTTAGGGTGGGGATAGAGAGCACGGCGCAAAGTGTGATTTCTGCTGACAAAGCATGTTACTTGCTCAGTCACATTGCTTAGTGAACGCCGAAGGCTAGGGATCATCTTGCTTAAAGCACTCATCGACCAGTTATCAAATAGCAGCCACATGAATTAAATGGTCTCATGGTCTCTTCCCTGTTTTGGAGTCTCTGTTGGGGATTGCCTCCTTTACCCATAATGATTTTCAAATTCTTTTTCTGCTTTTAAAATAGTTCTATATGTAAACTGTCTGTATAGAGTTCATTAGACAGTGTCATTGATTTTAAATTACTCTGCTTTTTCCTATTTTTCAAATTTAGATGGCTTGTTTAGTTTATGATCCAGCATAATGGATAATGATCAGAAAACCTAAGCAGGAGGTGATAAAAATGAGAAGAGCAACTGACGATTCTCACAAAAGTGCTGCTACTATATTGGAAAAAGAGGGATTTGCAAAGGGAAGGTTTCTACTAATTAAAATACAAGCATTTGGATCACAAGGAAAGGAGTAATTTTTTTAACAGAAGTATGAAAGTTGGGGAGGAGAAAAGAGATGAAGACAACACAAGTTGATTGCTAGTTGGAAGACAGCATTAGAATGTCCCTGCCTAACTAACTTTTCCCTCTGCAAAATTTCTTGGCAGGCTTTCTCCACTGTGAGGCTGTATTTATACTTGTAAATTAAACATATCTGGAAATCTTCTTGGACACAAAGAGCAACTGGCATGAAATGGCCCACATCTATGCTAATAAATTCTCTTACCTTCCAAAACAAGGCAGTAGGACAGAAACTGCTTGAGGAATTACCTTAGAAGGAGTCCTCGCATCAGGCTGGGAAGGTGCCTAGGAGAGTGGTGGTTGTCACAGGCCAAATCCATGCCAGGGACTGTTGTCACAGTAACTAATACAGACAACTACACTTCATTGAATTTACAGCTATCAGCAGTAAGCTATAGCTTAAGACTCCTACAGTTATTCTGACTCCCATAAAGGTTGAATATGATAAAAGAGGTTTTCTGCTCTGCCTCCCTCAAAATGACTGGGTTTGGATCTTTCTTAAATAATAAGACTATGTCAAAAGCAACAGCAGCATAGTGCTAACCAGAATTGGTTTTTGCTCAGATGAAATTACTGGAAGGATTATCAAGGATAGAATCTGCAGGTGCTAAAAATAAAGGGAAACAGGAGGACAAAGGGAAGGGTGAAGGGAACCAGGGAGTGGGATTGTTAAGGAACAGTTAATCACAAAGCTGAAGAAGAATAAAGGAGGAAAGAAAAGAAATGTCAATTCTGAAGGAAATTAGGAAAAGACTCAGAAATTAGTATAAATAAAGCTTTCTTCATAACCCTTACGTTTTCTGCTTCATCTCTTAAAATTCTGCAGAACTAGAATTGACTGATTTTCACATCCTTTTGTTTGGTGCACTTTATTATTAAAGCCGAGCATTATTTTTGGCCTAGTGCAAAACTCATATCTGAATTTAATATAGGAATAAAGCTTTAAAATCGGCAACTGCTTTGCTTTAAAAAAAAAGCAAAACCAAAACCAAACAAAAAACCCCATCCCAAACCCCCCAAAAAACCATGTTGGAACAATGACAAGATACACTTACTTTTCAAGATAATTTTATGTTTCCAGTACAATGTAAATAAAGGTGTTTTTTTAAGTGAAAGAAGCAAAGAATAAGTTCAGGTATGAGTTGCTAATGTGCTGCAGCAGAAAAAAGGTATGAAGTGCTGTGTGCAGAGGCATCATCTCTCTGAGCAAGGAGGTAGTAGTGTATTGTCCAAGACTGAATTACTGTATTTTACTTTTAGGAATATAGATTTCTGTAATATGGGCACCAAAACTTCATTTTCTGTTATTCATTATATTTTCTCTCAAATAACTTCTGTGTTAACAAAAAAAACCTTTATTGAAAATTTTTCCATTAGAATTTAACAAATCAAGTATGGATTAATATGCAGTCTTCATAACAATTTCTATTTTAAACATACTGAAACAGTATATTTTTGTTTTTAGAATATAAACCAGTTGGTAAGATAGGAGAGGGAACATTTTCTGATGTTCTGAAGACACTGAGTCTTAGGGATGGAAAGTACTATGCATGTAAACACATGAAGCAACATTTTGAAAGGTATGCATAATTAATCATAGTACTACAGAAAATCTTACTTAAATTCGGTGGGGAAATGTGAAATTAAGACTAAGTGAATTTTTTTGAATACACATGTATTAAAAAGGTTTGCATGTAGTACAGAAAGGGAACTCTGCTGCTAATTATGCAGGGCCTTCCCATTTGGCATTGGGGTTATTTCCTTGAGTACTCTAATTGATGTCATCCACTGCACTAAATGCTGCCTGGCCACTGGGTCGAGGGTGAAATGAGAAGAATGAGGACTAAATTATTGATTTTTGCTTTTCCAAATGCACTGAATATACTTGTGCTGGTTTTCTTTTTGCTGTAAATAATAATAGGAGGAGGAAATGTGTCAGTCCTCCCCCTAGACAATACTTTTTTCAGTCTTACTTTAAACACTGTTTTAATGCAAGTTAGAAACACTGTATTTATCCTCAGTCCATGTATAGCATTAGTTCTACTTCATATTTGCATTTTATTTAATTACATCCATCAGCAAGATGATATTTGGTCACAAAACAGGTGCTTTTTGTAGGTTAGGAAAATAGAGGAGAGGGCTGTGTGGAAGTAGACATAGACTTGACATTCTCCTCCAAATATATAAGTGCCAAACAATGCCGTTTCGGTCACTGACTTTGTATTCTCAGTTAAATATATTCATTTCCTAGTGAAATCAGTGGGAGTGACCCATTTGTACACACAAAGTTAAATGGAACATTTTGCTCTTAGGTGAGATTTCACAATGTAACTCAGAGCTTGAAAGACTTAAGGAAAAGTGGAGCTCTGAAAAAATTACTGTAAGTTAATAAAAAAAAAAGAGAACTCAAATATCTTCAAGTAATGTGGCTTCTGATTCTCTATTGTGGTGTTAGAGAACTCTTGGTCCATTTATACATTACCTACAGCTGACCAAATTGTCCAATTTATGATCAAAAGAGTATTTAAACTAACTGCTTAGCTATATCAAGGACAGATGGTATACAATCCAGTGGTAGGGCATAACAATACGGCATAACAAGCAGACTCTTTTTTTCAGGTAGCATGTTTAAAACATCTTTTAGGCCTTTAACCCCTTGATAAATTGATTGACAAATTCTTTTGATGAAAGGAACTCTTTTAGGAGGAGATAACAGTGTTTTAAACAGAACCTGCCCGTACAAGGTATTTCTCCTAGTGTCAAATTGGAAAATATTGTTTTGGTGATTAGCTTTAAGTCAGACTGTGAAAAGGCGTATGTGTCCTGTTCTGATCCATTAAATTGTGCAAAGCAATTTGTTTCCTGCTTCCTCCCCAGAGTTTCTGTAGCATGCAGTTTTGTTGTTTTTTAAAGTCCAGGAGGGCAACATAGTAATTAAACAATAATTGAATAGTGTCTATTTTTCATGTAAGACGTTACCATCAAAGCTTAATTTTAAATGTTAAATTTGACAAGGCTGGATTTTCACTTCCAGCATCTTGCTGAGCAGTAGTTGGAATGTATGCTACACCAGCACAGAATAAACAGTATCATACATACTATTATGCAACACAAAATTCCTCCCAGATAGCTCCTTGGTGCGGTAACTGATGTCTGGAGCACAACACATTGCTACTTATCTTGTTTGGATAAGTCCAGCTACTCCAGACTGCAAGAAGGAATAAAGCCATTCTCCTGATTACTGATTTGCTCTATAAAGAAACAAAGCAGGCAAACAATTTATCAGGCCCTGCATTTGAAAGTTCAATTACAGACTAAAGTGGAGTAGATTCTGACAGTCTCATGGCAGGGAAGAAGGACAATTATAATCCAGTCCCTGATTGCAAGTCAGTCTTCCTCTTTTCTTTTTAATTCAACATTAGTATGGAACAAGTGAATAATCTGAGAGAAATACAAGCGCTAAGGAGGCTGAGTCCGCATCCTAATATCCTTATGTTACATGAAGTTGTTTTGTAAGTATGGTGCATTAATTTCTTTCTTCCTTAATCCTTTATTTGAATGATATTCAGTAACTTTTGGGACTAGAGGCAACCTGTAGGCACTTAACCATCTTTTTATTCCAACAGAAAGAAAAAACCAACAAATTTGTCAAATTCTGAAGTCTTCATGCCTTTTTTGTTAAGAAAATCTGATGTAGCTCTCACTTTCTCTGGCTCTTTTGCAGCAGACCAAAAATATTTCAACATCACTATTAAAATTACAGACTAATTAAGCATAGCTAAACTTCATATCATAATATGTAATACTTGCTGATGATTTCAACCCATGTCCCATATCCAGTGGGTGCTTTAACTGCACAACGTCACGTCTACTGGAGACAGTATTTTGGTAAGGCACAGTCAGAGCTTATCTGCTGGAATAGGCTCTGGTACTTCAAGGATCTTGGTTTGACTTGTCAGTTTGAACTAGGGATCCAAGCAACTTATTAGGCAGTATCATTTCGTAGGCAACTTTACAGACACCCCTTTGCAAATAATAGGAGTTTAGACATCTGAATTAGGCAGCAGCTGAGCTATGAATTTGGAAAGAGATCAATCAGGTATGAAGTTGGGTTCCTTAGCCTCATTAGGCACTTAAGTGTCTTCTGGGGACATGTTCTGTCTCGCAAAGAGATCAGGTTTTATGACAGCATTTACTCCATTACTGTGCGTTACACTTCATCACTATGCAACAGCAGACATATACTTCATTATTCAAATACTTGACACAAAACTTGTTGACTGCTCTAAAATATTTTTTCCTTGCTCTTCAGGCTGTCTTATTCCTCTGCTCAAGGTACTGGTACTACACTGTTATTGACAGGCCCGTTTTCTACAAATATATGGAAAGCTGGTAATCTTGTCAGCAGCTTAGCTTTCTGGAATTCTCAGCTTTAGCTGCCGTGTTGTTAACGAAGTGTAATCCAGATGGCCAGCCAGCTCGCCTAGCTCTTTCACAGTCTGTCTGCAAACTGAATTGCAGATTGTACCCTCAACCTTTTGCTGTCTGGATTAATGGAACATTGCAGAGGGGATGTACTTTAATGCAATTATCTTGTAAGAAACACTGAAGATCTAAAGACGTCAGCCTCTGCAGGGCAGTGAAATGGAAAATAAAGTGTCAGATGTATTATCATGTCGTGATAATACTTAAAACTGCTGTTGTCAGCAAAACAGAGATTCCAGTCAGACACTCATTTCCATGCAATAGAACACTACTGGTGGCCTAACTAGAAAGTATTTTCATGTATGGCGTAATGGCATATATATGGCCTATCTTTTGTTGTAAGATTGTATCAGTTAATTTACTGGAAATCTCTTGATACTGAGTAGTGTGATATGCCCAGAAAACATGCCTTTGCATAGTATAAACTAAAACTATGATACCTCAGACCCTAAGTTGAAAAACTTCTATGAGAAAGTATCAGTTAAAAATGAAAACATCCATTTTAATACTGGTTAAACTAAGTGCTTTTTTCTACACTGTGTACAAATCAACATTTCTAACTTAAAGTCTCCTTATTTGTTTCTTCAGTGATAAAAAAGCTGGCTCCCTTTCACTGATATGTGAACTTATGGACATGAATATTTATGAGCTGATAAAAGGTGTGTAGCATATGCTTGAGAAACATACAAACCCTTCTGTATAGATCACAAAGTGGAATTAAGTATTTTTCACTTGGTTGTTCACCGTTACGTATTGTAAAATTCATAGGGAAATTTTGTGCCATAGTGCTTTACTCTCTATTTCTTTCCAGTGCAATATGCCCACTTAAATGTTTAAGGCAGGGGCGCGTGCATAAGATTTCTAATGAGTCAGGTCAATGGCCATCTATTTCTACAGTCAAACTTTAAATAAAAACAGGGAAACAACCTTGACTGCAAAACACAAAATAATTGCTTTATATAACAGAAGTACAACTTAAATAGGTTCTTTGTTAGGTCAGGACTGTAATGATATAACAAGAAAATTATTCCCATTTGTTTAAAAAACTACTGAATCAATGAATAATGATTTTCAGTTTTTATATCTAGTAAAAATGCCTTTTTACCAAGTTTTCTCTATAAAATAACATTGTTCCCTGAAACCTCCTGTATTTAAAAATTCTAGAGCTGTTTGTCAAAGTAAATGGGAGACCATAAAGCTTAAGGAAGAGTTCCTACAAAGACGTTTAGAACAAAAGCTGATTTAAAACCAGATCTCATACAGACACCAAAGGAGTTGGACAGAGCAAATGAAGGGGCACGTACTTATAATTCAATATTAAAAGAGGATTTTTTTCTACATAATTAAAAATTTGTAATGTCTTAACAGTTGGGAGATTCATTTCAATGACTGAGCATGCAACTGTCATTCAGTGTAATAGAATAGATAAAAGACTTGCTCCCAAACATTACGTTAGCGACACTGAGTATTCAGATCTCTAACAAAAGGAGTAACCCTGTTTCTGACCTAGATAAGAATTTGAGGTTAAAATACAGTTGTTTGCTGATCACTGAAGCAGACATGAATAGTTGCTGTTTTTAATAAGACATTTTATTTTTCCAGGATAAATTTGTTAAGTTGTAAAGTCAGAGTAGTAGCATATAGAATGGAGTCCTCATTGGATAGTAAGTTAGTCCAGTGCTCTAAAAACAATCCTGCATCTTCTCCTTCCAGGAAAGATACTGTACTTCAGTTATGAAAGATCAGAATGTTTAGGTTTGTTCTTTAACGGCCTTTTTTTTACCTCAGAGTATTTGCTTTCATTTGGTTACATTTCTCAGTGTTTCTCTCATTCTTTTCATATGAAAAAGCCTGCTATATTAAGCATTGTATACAGATGGAAATTAGTCTAATAGTTTCAGTATGTTCTGCTTTTTTTTTTTTCATTTTAAAATACAGTTTTTATCAAATTCAATTTTTCCGTAAGAAGTTTGTTTTCCTGCCACTTAGTTTTAAAAACTCCTTTTTTATGGCATGGTGAATCAGTTCAAAATGAAATCTGTGTTCAATTGTAATCTGAAATGCTGCAGTTAGGAGTTATCTAAACATTAATCTGGGTCTATCTGAACTTCTATAAATTGCTCATAAATTCTTCTTTATGGTCTGGATTTTGTGTCTGGACTGTGTTTCCCATGATACAATGTCTTTTTTTCACCTCGTACAAGGTGGTGGCTCATGGGGTGGAGCTTGTCAAATCATAGAATAAAATGGAAAAATGAACAACAGATTCCTATGGAGAATATCATAAATAAAAAAAGGTATTTTGATATTTTGAAGTATCGAAGTATTTAATTTGTGTCAAGTGTTTTGCATTTTTCAGAAATTAATTTTGGAATTTCAAAGTAGACGTGTCAACACCACAATTTCTAGGGGGCAGAAATAGTTTTTTATTTGTTTTCTCCCCCAAACAACTCTAGTTGTGGCTTATTGCAAAGTCAAGAAATGTAACATGTTGCAGTCATTTCAAACAATAAATATGGCAAAAATTCCAAGTACGTAATTAAATTGGAAAATCAGTCTTAGTTCTGAGCCAGAACACTTATTGACTGAGGATATCTAGATAACAATGGCAAGTAGAAGGAGCTCCTTTTGAATTTTCAGCGTTGTGATTTGAAGGAGTGCACTACTAATTTGTAGAACAATTCAGTTGTGTTCATTAGCGATGCTCTATCACAAAACAGTTTTCAGAGTGTACAAAAGTAGTTACATTTCAGATGATTTGTAGTCTTTTGTAAATTTCTACAGTGTATAGTAATGCAAAGGCTTGTCTTTGACTACTCTGAGTCTTGCAAAATTAAGTTCAATATAGGTGCAGAACAACTTAAAAAAGGTTTAAGTTAGAAAAATTTAGAGGCAAGCATGGTTTGTACAAAATTTTGTAATGAAGAAAAACTTGAAGCAGGCGTTGACGGAAAATGAATTTCTAATTTAACAAGGTGTATGGAGACACTTCTGTAATTAGGAGAACAGTTCACTGTAATGCTACTAATGTGGAAAGTTGATCCTTTTGTTTTTTTCCTTAATCAACTGATAGGTTTGTGTTATTTCAATCAAGATAAGGCTATTTGTCTTTACACAAAGTCATAATACTCTTGCTATTAATTTATAGTGGTATCACAAGTCATTTAATAACTGAAAACCAGTCTTGCCTTTTGTTTAATCAAGAATGATTTGGTCATTTAAAGCGATGAAAAAAATATGGCTCAGAGGAAGGTGGGGAAGGTGCCTCAAGCAAAAACAATTGTAGCCTTAAGTGCCTCCGCCTTATGATTCGCTTCATAAGGTTTCTCTAATGATAAATCTGGAAGTAGAAGAGCATCTGCTCCAGATTTTACTAGTGACCTGTAATGAAAAAACAATTGAGCATGACTTCTTCTTATGAAGGCCTGTTTTTTTAAATACTACTAATAATCTGAGTGCGTTTGAATAGCTTCATTTTATAATATCTTTTCTACTGTAAATGACAAAAATCCTGATGTTGAAAACACCATTTATCTCTGCTGGGGTAACAATACTACAATTCCCGATGTCAGTACTGTAATCAGTTAGGAACACAAGTCCCGCTGGCTGCTAGGACTTGCAGCCTCAATGAGTTAGTGTCCTGATAATCTCCCTCCTCCTCCCCAGCCAATTACTCATACTACCGTCATCAGGCAGATCAGTACCTGCTTTGTTTTTCAAAAATGTGATCATTTCTGCCTCCGTTGATGACATTGCAGCATTACATAAAGGCATTACAGCAAGATTAAAAGGCCTTTGGAGCCTATAAAAGAAAAAAGCTGAGTAGTTACTGAATGGCTCTGAAAAATAGATACATTTTATAACTGTCATTGCACAACGGCAATAGCAAGCTAAACTGCATAGGTTAACCTTTAATTTGCAAGTCAAATGTGAATCACAGCCATTTAAGCATTGCAGTAATTTGAGGTGATTGATACGAATCTTAAACCTTAAGGACAGTTATTTTGTTTAGAGAGGAAATTAGATATTTAGAAGTAAAATATTGCAGTTCTGTTAGAACTCGGGGAAACAGATACTGCAAGAAAAACATGCAGTAAAAGCTAAAGCAGATTACAGACTATTGAATTGACAGTTGTTAGCTGAGCTATTCTGGTGCATACTGAAATCTAAATTATGTCTGAAGTTGAGTGGAAAATGGATTATAAAGCCAGCTATAAATGACGGAAATAATACAATTGAAAAAGGTAATATCAATGCACTATTGGAAGCTGAAGAGTAATTTTTTTGTATTCTGTTGTTGGCTAAAAAGGACTTGTACAACTTGAAATTTAATTCTAGGAAGGAGAAAGCCATTACCTGAAAAAAAAATTAAGAACTACATGTACCAGTTATGCAAATCTCTTGATTACATACATAGGTAAGAGATCTGGTAGAGCAACAGCTTTACAGTAAATGTATCATACATTTATTTCAGAGTCATCTCTAAGCAGAGATGACATACAATTGTCTGGGGCAGCAGACTTCTGCTGGGAGAAAAAAGGCCATTGCCCAGATGAATCTTTGCCTATCTTGGAGCCCTGGAAGGCAGCCAGCAGGCAGCCCATGCTGCTGCCAGCACCCCAAAGGAGCTCTAGTCCCTGCTGCAGGAAGCCCTCCTGGGGGGGCGGGCCTTGCAATCCTTTGGTGAGCCTGGTGAGGGCAAAGGCAGAAAGCCTGGCCTCCCCTTCCTGCGCTTGCCCTTTCCCCATTCCCATACCTGTAGCTGTTGTCTCACCATGGTGGCAAAATTCTTTTTTTTTACTCTGTAGTTGATAAGTTGGAAGAAAGTGTTAGTTTCTTTAAGTATCTTTTTACAAATAACTGGAAGCACTGATAATGTTTATCTTTTTACTGAACTCTTCTCTCTGGTGTGTTTATATTGGTACAGAAATGGGATATTTCACAGAGATGTGAAACCAGAAAACATATTAATAAAGGTAATTAATTTTATGTGAGAATATTTAACTGAAAGTGAAGTATATCAGTATTTTTCTCTTTACTCTGAGAAGGTAATGCTTCTTCATGAATAAAAGTACAGTTTTTAAAAAATATATAGGCAGTTACTTCTAATACTGTATTCCTGATCTAGAGGAGTGAACAAGCAAGTTTGTTATTGGCTAAAACCTGAAATTAATCAGATGCATTACAGCCTGCATGTGTTCCAATCTAAAAACCTGTTCTTTATCCTCTATTCATTTATATTTTCCTTTCTGTGTTAACCTAGAAACAAGCGATAGGGTTCAGTTCTGCAGCCCTTTCTTTCTACATTCAATTCGTATGTTTAGTGGAAGTTATTCATACAAGAGAGAGCAGAAGGTATTAGCTTTCAGAAGATTTCTTCACTGAAATCTATTCTCCTGATGGTTTCAGAATGTTATTTTGCTAATGTCTGAAAAGCAAGGACTTCAAAATTCAGTTTATGAAATTTTATTTTCTAGAGATAAATTTTTCTTTTAAGTCTTAGAAGTGTACAGGAGAAGCCGTTACAAAGAGAAGCCAAAGCCACTGCTTTGGCTTATTATATCACTGCTAAACACAAGAACTCTAAGAAAATAACTTAATCCAGGTGTTCTATTTAGCAGTCTTCCCTTCAGTAATAGTCCATATACTTTTCAATTAACTCTTGGCTCACTTTTTTAATGATGTACAGAATGGTATTTGCACATTATGGGACACAGATATCTTCAAGCCTGGAGCTACTTGCTATTTAAATGCAGTTTTACCACTTTAATACTATCCCTGGGATTTCTGAAAGTTTATTCTTAAAGTAATCCGTGATTTCTTTTATGATGACCGCATGTTTAAGGAAAATCTTTGCTTGAATATTTCAGTGTTTCTAATTTGTCAAAATACTTTATTTATTTTTGCAGCAGAATACCCTGAAGTTAGGAGATTTTGGATCTTGTAGGAGTATCTATTCTAAGCAGCCACATACAGAATATATCTCTACACGCTGGTACCGAGCACCTGAATGCTTACTTACAAATGGCTACTATAGTTACAAAATTGATATGTGGAGTGCTGGCTGTGTTTTCTATGAAATCACAAGGTACAGTGTTCAGTGGAGGGTCTTGCTTGTTATTAATCAAGAAAATCAAAGGTAAATAACTCAAATAAGGAGCACGTGGTATAGGTAATACGATCTTTGTTTCCATGGTTTTGTGGAAGCTTCTTCTGTGATTAGTCTGCAGGTTCATGAGGCAGTAATCCTGTCTTGTCTGGCACTCTTCACCTTGTGGCAGGTTAGTAATAAAGCAGTGGGATGTTCAAGAGAACATAGTACCAACAAATATTATTTACAAGTAAAATAACATTTTTGAACAGTTGGTTGTTTTGTTGGTTGTTTTGGTTTTTGGGGTTTTGTTTTGTTTTGTTTTTTTCCCATTGGCTTCATGTTTGTGTTTGGTAAAAATGTGTTTTCTCTGCTTTCTCTCTGAAGACAGTATGGCTCATTTCCTGTCATGAGCATTGCTAACTATCCTCAATCTTGTTAATGCACTTGATGGTAAAATTTTTCCCTCTTTTTTTGATGTACTGTTCTGCAAAAACAGAGGAGATTAGAGAAGACACTTCCTCTGATTTACCACTTTGATTTATAATATAGCGTGTTTAAGACCCTTGTGCCTTATGTCCTGGAATTTTTTAAAGTCAGATTCTGATGAAGGAAAAGTTCAGGAAAACCCGGATTAAAGTCCTTTAAGCTTTTTGATGATGATGAAACTATAACTCAGAAAATTTGTCACTGGTTTTCAAGAAAAAAGGAAAAATAACCACCATGAGTATTTCTCCAATATCTTTGTGCCCTAGCAACAGCAGCAGTTCTTCTTTATTCTCCTCCCACACTGCTGTCTCCAATATGCAACCAGGAGTGATAACATTTGCTTTGCTTCTTTCCTCCTCCTCCACATGGCAAGTGCAGCTGCTGCCATCACCATCACATTAAATGACAACCCTTATGCTTTGCCTGCTAACTTGTAGAAACAATTCTACTTCGGTCAGAAAACTGTTAACAGAAAAATCCCAAATGTGGCAGTTCTCTTGCAAAGTAAATTGGGACCAAAAGCTTTAAAAATGCCACGTTTTTCCATTTCAATTTGAAGCAGGTGGGCTTTGAAGTTTGGCAAGAAAATTACACGCTGCAAACTTAAGTTTTCTTAGGGCAAAAAACCTTACAGATATTTCCTCATAATTTTAGCTTAATGTAACAATTTTCATTCTTTGCAACCACTGCACATTTTCAGAGACCTGATAGATGTGTTCAGAGAGAAATGAGGGATGTTTATTGGAAATTACCAAATTAAAAATGATACAGCCTTGCCCAGCTAAAGGAAGTTATGGACAGGTTTGTTTCTTTTTAAGTGCATTTTGGAGTTCTTGCTGTTGAACATTTGCATAAGCCTTTATGCTTTACACCACGTTGTGTAAGAATTTTTAGTCTTTTACTCAGCCATGCTTATCTTTCAAATCTTGGTCTCCCTCTTTCTGTTCCTTATAAATCATGGTTCCTGGATTACATTTTTTGTGGACTGTGCAGTTGTTCTTCCCTAAGTTATAGCTTTACATTTAGAGACAGCACATTTTTGTATTCACACAAAACCTACTCCCAACTGTCTGTCTTGATATAGCTGCACAACATGAATCAGATCTCTTTTCTCTTCTTCCTCTACTCAAAGCTTTATAAAGACATTCAGAGAAGTGTGCAGCCAGCTGTTTGAATTTGCAAACAGTTAAAAGAAGTTTCCTCCTTCTACAAAGAGGGCTGAATGTATTGCTTTCAGGAATCACGTAGTGCTACTGAAGCATTTATTAAATTATAAGCCGAAGGAAATGCTCTGCTAACGTGGAAAAAGGCAACATGTGCAAGAAACAAATGTCAGTGGACCTGCTTGTTAAGCCAGATTGCTCTATTGGTAACAATGTTTTCAAGGACTCTATGCAAGTTTTATATTAACTGAGAATCAAGCTCAGGAATGCAGTTCAAATTACCATCTTTCCAGTATTGCTGCTTGCAGAGAACCTGTGTGTTAGGAGTGGAATGTTTCTTATAAATATATATTTCTATGTGCATACACAACAAGAGGGAGTGCTTGACTCTGCTGTCTTAAAATGAGGAAAACACATTGTCTTCTGGGATCTGCCACTTCACTAGAAGAAAACACAATTGCATATCCATTGCCTTTCACCAGGAGGAATGTTCTCTTTACATATTTTACCCCAAACCTGAGAGGAGAGGGCAACTACAGGTTTCTGTTTAATAGCCCAAGCTACTCTTTCCATCCAAACACGCAGTTATATTAATCTGCTTTTCACATACTATCCTTCAGTTGTTGGTTGGTATTAAACAGTCCACAGATAAATAATTCTAAAATGTATCTTCCTCATAGATGAAAATTTTTTAACTGAAGTGCCAGCTATGCCATTTAAACTAGTTTAATTGTGTCTTCTCTAGTGCTAATACCATCTCTTACCTTGCAGTTTTCAGCCTCTCTTTCCTGGATCTAATGAGCTGGACCAAATTTCAAAAATCCATGACGTTATAGGCACTCCTGCTAACAAAACTCTCAACAAGTTCAAGCAGTAAGTATGCACTCGCATAGTTATTAATCTCACTGTTTAAATATTCACAATATAACTGTACAACTGCGTGCAATTTCTGCTCAGGGAACCACCACAAAAATCTAATACTGTTATGATGGCTGCTGACCATAGAGCAGTGTCTTCTATCCCTACCCAGAGATAGTCACGCATTCGTGATCCTTGTAGGCAGAGCAGAGGAAATCTGAGCTTGTATCAATCTTATTTGGCCTTTTATTTTCTTTAAGGCCAATGACATAACTTGTTAGGACAGCAAACTTTTTTTTCCCCAAGTATTACTTACTTGTCCCTCATAAATGATTACCTAAATCAGATGAGAATAATTTTTTTTCAGTAAATTGTAATTCTCTCTGAATATGCATGAATAACTTTTTGTTCTCAACTTGCTTAATACAGGTCAAGAACTGCAAGTTTTGATTTCCCCTTTAAAAAAGGAAAAGGAATACCTCCTCTTGTGCACAATTTGTCTCCCAAAGGCTTCTCTCTGCTGTATGCGATGATAAAATATGATCCTGATGAGAGAATTGCTGCCCATCAAGCATTACAGCACCCTTATTTTCAAGAACTCTGGCAAGTGACTTCAAATCACTTCAGTCTTGAAGACTAAAATTAAAAAGTGGGGGGAATGCTGTGTGCTTATTATTTAAAGTGGACTGAAATGAAGTTTGCTTACAGTGCTAGTACTTAGCTTGCAATACAATGAACATAATTCAGTCAAGATAATTCTTTGCATTGAGTCCAAACTTCACCTAAAGCACAACTGATGGTTTTTCTATTTTTTCCCCCAAACTTTTTAGGGCAGCTGATATACAAGCTTTGGCCATGCACAAAAAATTAAGATTACTAGGAAGTACAGCAGGGCAAGTACCTCTGCGTTTGTGGCAAATTTCAAAGGAAAGTCAAAGACAGGTAATATTTAAGTGGAAGAATTGTCAGCCCATTTAGAGAAAGTAATTTGTGACATTGAGCTTGTTAGCTAGGAACAAATGTTTTACTTAAGCTGATTATTTGGTTTTATTCAGTCTACCTAAACACTGATCTTTATTGGGTCTGCTGCAGTTCCACCTCCCGCAAGCCCTGAAAATCATGAGTTAGAATTTAGAAGCTGTGATACCACATAATCCCTTCAGTAGACAGTTGTAGTAGTTGCCATTACTTAGAGGGCCAGTTCCACGTTTTTATAAAATATTTTCATCTTCTTTTTTTGCTGTCTGCCTTTGAGTTAAAAAGGTGTACACATGAAGTTGTAGCAGAGACAGAAAGTATGCTTTTGCTTTTCAGGCCTTCAGTCTACATTTTGAACAAATAATTTTTTTTTTTTTTTTTTAAACTTAATTATCCTGTATTTAGATGATATCTGGGAAAATCCTAAACTTATATTTGACACTGGAAATCAAAAAATTAAAATCTGATTAAAAATTCTGGCAAACTAAAACCTTGTTTATATTCAAGCTATGTGAAAACTACTCAACATGTTCATTCTTAAGGGTTCGCTGTATCTGCAAGGTGAGATAGAAGTTAGTACTACATTAAAGACTCTAAAATACAGGTTCTTCCTCAAAAAAACAGATTACAGTAGCAAAAAAAATTTATAAATTATTTTCTGCTGTGCATTTAACCTTGAAAGCATGAACTCTCCTTCCATAGGAGCAGGCACTTTTTCCACCAATTTAGTTCTGGTGTTCATCAATGTGGGCTTTGTAAGAAGTTCTTTCAGGAAAAATTGTAAGAAACATCAAGTGAGGGTAGTAATTTTTAAAAAAGAATTAGCTGAAGTAGTATTTGGCTGTTATTTTTTCTGATTATTTGGATTTTCGCTTTTAATTTCATTCCTTAAAATGTTCTCAAAAGAAATTGAATCTTGTTTATTTATTTTAAAAGCATGCTCTTAGGAAAGTCCAGGAAAAAACAAAACAACATGGACCTCCTTGTGGAGAATTACCGAAATTAAATCTTTCTGGAGGAGCCAAATTGACTTCCTGTCCTATTCCTACATTGCATTCAGTTTGCCAGACACCTCAAGAAAGTGGTGAAACCTCTGTCTTACAGTCTGTTAGATTTATTGGATCAAATATCGAGGTATAGACTCTAACTTGCTCATTAAAGTGTAATAGCAAGTGAAATGTGTTTTACAGAGTGTATTTCAAACTTCTGTTGTTTCCTCAACAGTCTGAGAAAAAGAAGGCACTTCAGTCTTCCCCAAAACATTTCCACTTACCTGCTATAGAACGAAGAGGAGGAGGTTACTGACCACCTTGTAAAGTATTTGGAGTGTGAGGAAAAGCACGACTACGCAGTGAGAGCAAGCCAATCATGCTTCCGTTGTTAAGAGATCTAACAAGAACAGCAGTGCCTTATTTTGTGTTTCTCTGACAATTTGTAGGAAAACCCCACAAGGTTATGAAGGGCTGCTTACCTACCATTTTGGTATTCTGTTCGTGAAGGATATCAGTATTTAATTAAAGCATTGTTCTGGCAGAGCTTAGAGAGCACTCTGTATTGAACTTTCTAAGTATTTTTCCCTTTTAGAACCTGATGGAGGAGGAGGTTGGTTAAAAATAACACGAAAGGATTCTTTGAGCTTCAGTATTAGGAATGGAATGTTATCCACAAAATATGAGTTTTCATATTATATTATAAATGACAGCTAACTTTTATATATTTTTTAGATGTAAAATATTTTTATTTTTCAGTCAACTCTGGAAAGTATTCGCCTCCTGTATTCAATAACTTCAACCTCAAGTTTTATTGAGAATGTGCAGATTATGCAATCGTATCAGATACTTGATTTTGATGCAGTTTCTGTAACTGCTGAATATTTTTATATAACTATAATCTAGCTAAAAGCTAAAGCAACTTTTTATCTGATTCAAAAGCAAATAAAATTTAGTCATAGTTTTCTTCAAGCCATTGATCTTAATATTAATCAAAAGTTTTAACAGTGACTGATATTGCAGCTAGTGGCTTAAAAGAGCAGTAAAGGCATATATCTTATCATGTTTCAGAAATTTTGCACGCAGATCATCAGTACCAATTTAATATGTTACTGTTTCCTAGTGCTATAAAAGGTAAGAGTTAAAAGGCAGCATTTTTATCTTCCTTGGAAAGAGTAGTTATTGCAATTTGATACCATTGATTTTAAAACTCCTGAGATCTCTTGAAAATTTGCAATAATTAATTTGCAATACTTAAATTTGGTGATGTTTTACAAAGCAGTTTTGCTATTTAAAAAACAAATGAGTTTGTGCAAGTCATACTTAGCCGGGGGTTTAAAAATCTTCTGCCTACCGAGTATGTATGCAAGACAGGTTTTGCAAATACCTTTTTCTGGTTTTTTAATAGTTCTAAAAGTTACTCTGCTCATAATTGGGAAGTGATCAGCTTTTTTTCCAGTAACCAAACACCTCTGGGACTGCTGCTGCTGTTCAAAATTTTCTGTGCAACAAAAAAGTGAAAACCAAGCAATGAGAAGGCAGGCAAGGGTCATGTTGTATTAGAAGTCAGTGCTGCGCATGAGGCACTATGAAAAAACGCACTGGGTAGCAGATCACATTAAAGTTGCTAAGCCAACCCTTAAGCATCAATTTGAGATTGATGCTCTAAATCCAGACAAACTATTCTAATCAGTTAAGATGCGGCTCAAACAATACAGTAAAATACACGTTAACATAAAGATTTTATAAAAATACTAGTAATCTAGAATAAAAGTTATGCCCGTTATGCTCTCAGCTCTCCTTCTGAGATTTTATTGTTATGCATTTGTGAAAATGATTCTTCTCACTCAATTAGAGGTTTTCCAGTAGGTGGGTTTTTTGTTGTGTTATTTTGGTTGTTGGTTTTTTTTTTAAGAATTGGGGTCTCAACATTTGCAGGGTTCTGTTGTGACTGCATTAGATCCTATTCCTTGTTCCACCATTCAGCTTCTGGATAACTTCGAGCGTGCCCGAATTCCACATTGTGGCTTTTCAATGTGGGGAAGCTCACAAGACTCAAGTTCTTTATGAATCCTTTGAGATCTGCTGCTTAAAAGCACTTGTCCATCTTATGTTTATCTTTGTGTTTTGAAGAAGGTATTATTTTCACATACTGTACTGAGGATCAATATGACATTTACTAGCAGATTTTTTAAAATGTGAAAATATTAGCAGGCTAAATGTTTGTGGTGCATACCATGAGAGCCATTTTTTGGTATCGATTCAGATTCAACTATCCAAGTTGAATATCTTGCACCTGCATCATGGCCTATTGTACCTTTGCTCATTTTATTCCATTTCTTCATAGCAAACTTTCAGAATCTCAATAGCAAGAATGGAAAAACGTCCCAGCCCTGGCAAGAATTCTTGTAAAATAAGGCTATAGCACATGAACGAGGCGCTGCAGGGAAACCTGTATTGTTGCTACTAGTCCTAGGTATGCCAGAGGAATAGCAGATTTCTCTTACTAGGATTGAACAAATACATAAGCAGACTTTTAGTGGAGGAAGTGTTCTACACCAGTAGAGTGAGAACATCATAATAAAGGGAGAATTAAACAGCAGAACATAACAGTATAGCGAACTGCTCTTTCTCATTTTATTGAAACTCATACTGGGTGGATGCTGTCTTTCCTCCAGTTATAAGCAGAAAATATGCTCCTGACGTGGTATCTCAGAGTGCAGTGGCTGAGTGACTGGCTGAGTTTTACTGCTCTGTTACAGTTCATCACCTCCCCACTTTGTCATGCTTTCATGTTAGCAGCTCACACTGATAGAACAGATAGGGAGCTTCAACAATGAGGCAATCCAGTATTTGTTTGAATACTGAGCATAGGTGTATATATATAAAAAATATATATCTAAAAGAAAGGTGTGATGCTAAGCTTAGGAAATGGAATTAATACTGCAGCTCTACAGGCAACACAGTGTAACAGTAACCTCCGACTTCTTACCTTTGGAACTCCGAGCAAAAGGTGCCATGAGCTTATCCAGCGTTTTTTCCAGAGAGGAAGATGGTGAGTTGCTTGGTGCTAATATATTTGGAGTTGAGCATGGTGTGCAGCAGTAAAAATGGTGGTCTAAAAATAGGTAACATTGTATCTGAGGGATCTTGCTCTCTGCAGTTATTTATTTCTTACAAAATTTAAAAAACAAAAAAAAAAAGGACAAATCCTACTACCCACATTAGATGGATCATTCAGACTCAGAGCTCTCTTACCTAGCATTATACAGTAGGCCAAGGCTCATCAGGAACATATCATATGTTCCTGATGAAGCTATGTTAATTGTATTGGTAGCTTCCCAAAATCTTTTTCTGGAAACCTCAAACCACAGGTGCTGAAGTTTAAATATTTCAAAGTTTCAACTAAAAAAAAAAAAAATTCCCTCAGATCGTGTATGCACAAGATACTTTCCTGTTTTCAAAATGTTATTGCAACTGTTTGCTTCTATAATTGATATATCAGGTAGGTAATTATTCATCCACAAGGGAAATGGTTGTGTTTTTGAAAAAGATGAAGTCAGAATTTTTGGTAAGTTTTAACTTGGAGGGAAAAGGCTATCAGAATAGTATCTTGTATGTTACCAGTAATTCTCTCTCACGTATTCTGTATCTGAGGCTGTCAGACTGTTATAATGAAAAAGGAAATTTCACATTCGGCGAATCGTTTCTGCTATGAAAATTGGAAATTTGAAGTGAAGGTCCACATTGGAATGTTTTCATTTATGTTACGCTTTCAAGTGGATCTTACACAGTTTGGCACATACGGTGCTTCGTGGATATTTAATACCAAGTTCTTTGCTGTTATACTTCTGGAGACAACTTACACTTCTCTGGCTGTTGGATTAGTAGGCAAACTTGAATTTTCCCACCTGCTTTATAATTAAAATACACGCAACTTTACAAACTGGCAAGTATTGTTCCTACCCTCATTCCTCCAGCTAAAATTCCATATTAAGATGATCTGTGTTCTGCTCACTTTTAAATTTTTTTTAACATAGTAGGAAAAAGTTATTTATTAAGAGGTGTATCTGTAGTAGAAAACTCTAAGTTCATTCCAGGTAAGTTATTAGTATCCCTCTTCTTCCTAAAATAATTTTTTCCCATATGGAATAAAGGGTGGGATGGGCAGTTCAAGCTTCTAGATGACTGCCTAATAGTAAAGAAGAGGCTGAAAAAAGAAAACCCACGTACACTCCTTGCATGCTGTTTAACTATGATCTGTAGCAGGGACATATTCTGCAAACAGGTATGCGAGTAGCTGCTATTATTACCCTAATGTTGGATACTGCGGTCCTTTCCATACTGATCTTGTGTTTTTCCAGCTGGAGGAAAAAATCTTTTAAAGTTATTACATATTTTCTCAACTGTTTCATTTTGACTCAGACCATATGAAGCACTTACATAAAAGAAATCTACAGGGAGATAACTACACTAGTTATCAGTGATGAGGTTTATCTGTATTTTAACAGTTAAACCCACTATGTTAATAAAACAAAACTTCTGAACAACAATCCTGCTCAGTTTCAGTATTTTCCCCATTCCTCATATTTTAGAAGAACGTAAATAGATAAGAATTGTAAAGTACAGCTCCATCTTTAATAAAGTAGACAATCTAAGTGCCAGCTTATAAATGTACCTGGCAGTTTTCTACATGCTAGCTGCATTACAAGAGTAAGACCTAGTTACAAGTAGCTACTGCAGTTGTTTCTCCTCAAATTTGCATTCATTTCCTGAAAAAAATTAACTTCTCATGCCTGAAAATGTCTGAAGTTTACTTGCAATCTAAAAAATTCTACCCAGCTTTGTTGTTGGGAGAGCAGGAAGGGCATTAATGTGTGCCCTGAGATACCGCGTGCGCCTACTCGGGCAAGTTCCACATTCCCAGGCCAGCGGCCTCCGTTCCACTCTGCCTGCCTGATGCCCGGCTGCAAGATTCAGCAAAAGCCTAACTGTGAATATTGCCACACAGGATAAGGGGAAGACGTGGCAGATACTTCCATCTTCTGTCATCCTGGGGCTTGACACGGAGCAACATCTCTTGGGGGGTTTTTTAATCTTTGCAAGAACTACTGAAAACAATTTAAGTGTTCTGTTGCTGACTGATTAAAAGTAACATGTGTTCAGACAAGCAGCATTAAACTATACAAATACATGGATATGTCTATCTCCACAACACTTAACAGTTTAAGAGCGCTGAATTATAAATGAGATGCCTGATTTAAGACAAACAAGCTGTCTCAGAATCGCATCTACTCCAAGATGTTGACCTAATTT